AATATGATAACATGACACTAGCATGCCGAGAAGTTGGTTGTTCTTACGATGTTATGGAAGTGGAGACTTGGCACCCAATAAAACGTGACCTTACATAACCATCAATAAATTCAAACACAATTGAAAATTTCGAAAATAAATTCTCAAGACTTGTAATGAACGTAGATGGACAAAAACGATAAGACTCTGTTTGAGCCACATTTTTTTTTTTTTTTTAATGTATGATTAAAAAGTAGGAAATAATTTTTGATTTCCTTGTAAAAATTTTTATTGTGAGAATGCATGGTTGGAAATAAGTTTATAAAAAATATGAGTTTTAGATAATGAAGATCAAATAAGGACTAAGTTAAATAAGATAAGATGCAAGCACTCTCAACCTGTTTGGTTGTCAAAATAAGATTTTTAGTAGATTTTGATAAAAGTTGATAAATTGTGTGGTTGTAAAGTTGTGGATTTCATGAAATATACGATTAAAATTAATTATTGACTTTAATTTAATTTTTTAGCTAAACCAAACAAAGACTTAGTAAATACTAAATAGTAATGGACATGATATAATCAAAAGAACTTTCCGCAGGCCCAGCCCATATTGAATTAGGGCAGGCTTGCCGTTGGGGTAGAAATCAATTATATTACCTGGGTAATCGACGCTAGTGGCACTAAAACTTTTCACATGACCATTCATAGAACTATTTCACATGTTTTTAATAAATGTCTCGTGTGAGGTTCTACTAGCTAGTATAAAGAACGGGACAAGAACCGTTTTCAAATAATCTGATACAAGTTTTGTTTTATTATCGATGGTCTCAAACCTGGCATCAATGGAATATATGGTTCAAGAATCACGACTTTAGTTGACATAAGGGTTAATTTCACAAACGGTAAATGAAGTTAAGTCAAAATTACAAAACGGTCACTGAAGTTTAAAACTTGCACTAACGGTCACTAAATTATCATCCGATTTCAGTAATGGTTATTGAATGACCTTTTTCATTTTAATTGGAACTTAATGGACCAAAATAGTTGAAATTTAAACCTTGAGGACCTAAATCGCAAATTCGACAAATTTATATTTATTTTCTTAGCCTCCGATTGGATATAAATTTATAAATGGTATTCAATTAAAAAATTAAACTATTCATTTAAAAACTATTTTTTTATTATCCACACATTTCGTGAGACCTATTATATTCCTTTTATTGTTCTCTTCATAAATCATTTATAATTTTGCAAAACAATGGCTTAAACTAAAATTGGAAAAATATAAAATATATTCTAATAAATTAATAATATGTTGAAAAATACA